TTTCTACATTTTTTTTTGCTTTTTTTTTTTTTTTTTTTTTTTTTTTGAATGTCCAGAGGACCAGATTGAACTTTTTTGGGTTTTTCTACCTGGATTATTGAGCATGCATCAGGATATGAGGAGCAGATCAGTTGTAGAAAAACAAATACTCTTAAACTTAGCTGGAATTAAAAAAATTAATTAGAGATTTGGAGCTTCAGTAAATGTGCATTTCTGATTTTTAATTTTATTTTATGTAGCTGCTTCTTTATGACCTGCTCTCTTTACTGTGGGTGTGTTTCAGTGTTCTGACCAAAATAATAAAGACGGGTTATGCAGCGCTGCAGCTGGAATACTTCTTCACAGCTGGCCCAGACGAGGTGCGAGCGTGGACCATCAGGGTGAGTGCTCAGACCAACAACTAACGCTACACGGCTAACGATGAACTGCTGCGCCCTTCTTTGACATCGTTGGTTGTAGTTACTCAGCTAAACGTTTGTGATGTTTCTGTGCTGAGCGTAGACCGTGTTTATACTGACGAGGCTGCTGAATGTACGAGCCCGCTCGGAGTAGAATAAACTTTGGGGCTGACTGGATGCACTGATGGACAAAGACTTCTGCCCTTTTGTCCACAATCAGTGCTCTGAGTAACATCACAGCTGATATTTTTATTTATTATTTATAATAATCCATCCGTCTGTCCATTGTCTTTACCCGCTTCTTTCTTTGCGGGTCACGGTGGTCACTGGTGCCCATATCCATCCATCACTGTTTGAGAGACTGGGGGGACAGATCACAAGTCCATCTGAGTGGTTCCCAACCCTGGTCCTTGAGGAACACCATCCTGCATGTTTTAGTTGTTTCCCTGCTCCAACACAACTGATTCTGTGATTTAATTACTTCCTCATGTTCTGCAGAAGCCTGTAAATCACCCATTTATTAAAATCAGGTGTGTCAGAGCAGAGAAACAACTAAAACATGCAGGATGGTGTTCCTCAAGGACCAGGGTTGGGAACCCTGACATAGAGACAAACGAGACAAACAATCATCCTCTCTCTCTCTCTCTCTCTCGCTCTCGCTCTCTCTCTCGCTCTCGCTCTCGCTCTCTCTCTCTCTCTCTCACACACTCTCACACTCACTCACTCTCACACTCTCACACTCACTCACTCACTCACTCACTCACTCACTCACTCACTCACTCAC